CATCTTGAGGGGGAGTGTTAGAGCTAGCCGAATAAGGGTAGATTAGTCATTTTATTTCTGTTAAGTTATGTGCTTATGTGACAGTTTTAATAGAGACTTCCTATCCCATACTTAAGTGGGGGCAGTTTAGTCTTTGTACTACTAATTAGAGGCTAATCCATATTAAGGGTCGACTAATAGGGTTTAGTCTATTAGGTTCGACTGTTCTCTTCTTCTTCTTCTTCTTCTTCTTCTTCTTCTTCTTCTTCTGCTCTTCTCCTGGTTCGAACTACTGTAGCTACAGGACAAACAATGTAAAGTATGCATATATTTTATATATCATGCATGTTTTGCTTACATTTCATGAAAGATGAAGACATGGGTAGAACTCTTGTTCTCATGGCACAAAAGAGCATGGGGCAATCTCCTATGTTCATGGAAGAAAAGAATAATAAAAATATGGCAGACCCTTATATCCATGTCAATTAAGGAAAAAATATGGGGAAGGAACTCCTATTTCGTGCTTACAGAGTGGAGGAGTCCAAAGGGAAGAAATAGAAGATGAAAGTAAAATTAGTGATGCATATCAATTACTATACATTGTAAAAATAATGTTAAGACGTGGGTATTATGCATCTAAATGTGAAGAAGTGTCTGGCACATCAACCCTTCAAAGTTTTTTTCTTGATCTGTAACGCTATTATCAATCTCTCAAAATTCCATTAATGGGACACAACTATATAAATAATATAAAACTATAAATTCTAACTAAGAAAGTATGTAGATGTTGTTAAAGTCATTTCCAATATTTTTTTTATTGCTTAATGTCCATTATTATTTCATAAAAAATCATGGCCACCAAGCAATTAAAAGGAAAATATTGGGATTAGCATTTTGCTTGTGTGTGAAAGGTTCAGAGTTTGACTCCTTCCTTTGGATATTAAAAATATATAAGGAAACATTACCATTGTCATTCAAGTATAGTTAGTCCCTTAGTATGATTCTTTTTATGGAAAAAAGGACTATTCTATTGAACAATAAAATTGGTCTAGCTATTTATAAAAAAAAAATAAAAAAAAAATTGGTCTAGCTGGGACATGCAATTTCTCATTCTATGGTGGACCAAGTTGCCATATGAAAACAGTTTTCATCCCATAAACCTGATGTTCAAATAAATGTAAAAGAGTAAAAGATGCAAATGAGAGAGAAGGGGGAAGGAAGAGAGGGGCACCTCTGTGTTCCAAACAAATGCAGGCAAGAAAGGGGGGCGGGGGGAGTGTTACCTGCAAAGTGCCCTGATGACATCGGGACCTTAGCTACTAGCAAAGTTCTATTCCAGACCATTAAATCAGTCCTAAATAGGCCAAAAAATGGATATTCATTTCAGCCTCTAGATGGGTTCAGAGTCCAGATCAAGCCTATAAAACCCAAGCCTAACTTCAGGCCTATGTCCAGGCCCATGCCAAAAGCCTAAGCCTGTACCTAAGCCAAATCCAACATATCCAAATCCAAATTGATATCCATACCCATGCCCCATGTTCAAAACCTTGTGCAGATCCATTTGGCAACCCATATATACCTATGGATGAAAAAATTTTCTAGGTTGACTAGTATTGGAATTAGTAATTTAGGCCTATCTGGAAAGCTATTAAATTATAGTTTTCTTCACTAGCAAGAAAGCCTATATGCCTGTTATATGCCTTTGCTTGTATGACTTCAATAAACTATTTTAAAGGTGTGACATCTCTGAATGCATAATGTGGCTCCAAACCTAAATTAGAGCTCTAAGCTGCCAACCACTATAGTTCAAGGCACTATCCCTTTGTTTCTCTTTTTTTGGGTTTTGTTATCAGTTATCACTATATTTTTCTGCTGTTTTTTAAAAGAATTATGTATCTTACATATTTAATATGTATGAATTTAAACTTCAAAGACTGCACATAATGGGTGTTTGGTTGGGGGAATTGATTTATCAAGATAATCTTTTCAATAGTAAATGATCTTGTGGGGTTTGGGGAATCACTGATTTCTCCAAGGAAAATGTGTTTAGTAGAAGCAGTGCTGACAGGGTAATTTCTCCAAAAAACATGCAACTCTCACAATCTTTTTGCTTTGCACATTATTAGCATGAACATATCACTGCAATGTCAGAAATCAGTTTGAAAATCAGCCCTATGCCAATTTGCAAAACTATTTGGGCATTGCTCGAAATCATGGAAATCAGCACTAACTGGTTCCTCTACTGATTTTTGGGGAATCATTATCATCAAATGGGATTTTTCACATGATTTACAGTATCAGCTGGCAGGTTTATAAATTGGGATTCTCAAATTGATTCCTCCAATCAAACATTCCCATAGTTTTCCAAATTTCTTGAATCATGTGCATATAATAGGTTCTATATATTATAGACAAACTTTAATTGTTGTATGTGGCTATGTGCATTTGCATCATTAAGATAGCTAGTCTGTAGATTACTATTAGTTAGAAGAAGAATTTCACAGATATCTTTAGAAAATACTTAACAATGGCCTGCTATTCTCTCTCAAATTTTATCCTATCTATCTCTCTGACTTCTTTACACGAATTCCCAGTTCAAGGTGGTAGACCTGACGCCCTTGCAAATTCTGTGTAGAGGTCTAGAGATGTCAGCAAAGGATTCTTCTATTATGTTTCTTCAATAATCTCCAAAGAGGAGTTCTGTCCTTGTTGTTTTCTCTTATGGTTCAAAAGGAAACCTTGCATTTTTCCCTTTCTTTTCTCAGCCTTCCACCTTTTTGCATACATCTTGTATAGTTTCTTCTCTCATTGTTATATACTTTTTTATATCTTTCTTTACTTTTTTCCTCTGGTAAAACTTGTTTCTTTTTTCCTAAAAAAAGAAAAATCTTTATTTCTGTGGCAGTATGGTTCACTACATTTAAGTTTATTAAGATGAGAAAACAATGGTCTGCTGGGTAGTACTGTGGTATCAATGTAGACTTGTGGACTGTCTGGTTCGACTAATCTTCTGTGCCAGCATTTTTGTATATTATTTTGTCAACCATTAAACTGCTATGGTTGAACATTACACAGCTTGCTAAAAAATACCATCCAGATGCAAATAAGAACAATCCTTCAGCAAAGAGGAAGTTTCAAGAAATAAGAGATGCCTATGAGGTTTGTGTTCAGGGTGTATTTGTATTTTTCTTTCCACTCCTGAATAGCATATTTATTGGTTTACAGTGGTGCTGGCATTTGTAATTTACTTTCTCTTTGATGGTTTAGCTGCATCCCTTTGTTGTTGAAGGTAATTCCAGACTCTGCGAGACTCTGAACGGAGAGCACAGTATGATAGGGTAATCACTGCATTTCTTACTGTGCGTTTGCAAGTTTCATTGACCGCATCTTGTTTCTTCTTGTTTTGAGCCTCTTATCCATCATGTGCTCTATTTTTGCTGCCTGGGTGTCTTAGTAGTGGCCATAGGCTCATAGTTGTCAAGGTGTCACCTAGGTGCCTTGTCGTAATATTGTTAGTTTGTTTTTGTGGCTGCATATTATTACTATGTGTGTTAATACACCCTATCATATATTATATATTATGTTTGCTTTGTTTAAAGATTATACTATTAAGACATAAGTTGGATCAATTTAGGCCCATAAGTCTGTGCAATGTTATTTATAAATTAATTGCAAAAATTATTGCGAACAGATTAAAGCCAATTCTCGCCACATTAGCATCACCCTACCAATTGGCTTTTATCCGAAGTAGGCAAAGATCGGATAATATTTTAATAGGCTATGAGATTTTCCACACTATTAGAAGGAAAAAAAAAGGAAAAACTGGGCTAGTGGCATACAAAATTGATATGGAAAAGGCCTATGACAAACTCGATTGGAGCTATATAAGAGTGGTGTTGAACAAAACGGGTTTTCATGAAAAATGGATAAATAGGATTATGGAGTGTATAATAACGATCAACTTCCACCTATAAAAAAAGGGTCAGCTTCCAAGTACTTGTCAATGGTTCCCCAGGACAGATATTCAAACCAAACAGAGGAATAAGACAAGGTGACCCCCTATCCCCCTACATTATGCTTGGAAGCTCTAACCAACAGATTGAGAATCTATCAAGGGGTGAAAATGCAAACCTTGGGGTCAAAATTGCTAGGAGTGGCCCAACAATCCCAATTCTGCAATTTGTTGATGACTGCTTGATTTTTGCTAAAGTTAATATTGAAGCAAGCCATAGTGTCAAAATGGTTTTTCATAATTTTGCTATGCTTCAGGTCAAAGACCAAACTTTAAGAAATCTTCCATGTTTTTTTCTAAAAATACCTCAAATAGATTCCAAAGGATTGGCAAGAGTGACAGGTATTTTTTCGAAAAATACCTCAAATACATAATTTTGCTATTCTGATATAATAAACAAAGAGGAAAAATATTTAGGAACCCCTATCATTGAAAAGAGTAACAAAATCCAACTTGTGGAGGAAGTTTTTTGCAAAAAAATATGGTGTTATAAGTAATGGTTTCGATGCAGAAGCTTCGGTTGTCCTATGGCTGTGGGGTGTGGAGGGGAATCTCAAAAATTTTCATTCATTTTTGTAAAGGTTTGAGTTACAAGTTAGAAGATGGCAGGAGGCTGCGGTTCTGGCTTGATCTTTGGTGTGGTGATAGAAGTCTAAAAGACTTGTTTCTGGCCCTTTTTAGTTTGGCGGAAACAGTGTTTTAAAAGGTGCCTAGGTGCTCATGCGAGGCACATACCTTAAAATGTGCCTCGCCTAGGCCCTAGGCGCAACACTTTCAAAAGGCATGCGATTGGTGCACCTCAATGTGTGCCTTTTTAAACTTTTGTGTTTTTTGTGTTTTTTTGAACCTAGTGGCTGGGCTTCGCTCGCTCACCGAAGCTTTGAGAACCTCATTTTTGGTAATGTTCATTCATTCATTCTAATAAAATATATTCTTAAAAGTAGGGGTGCAAATGGATTGGATCATGATCCAATCTGATCCTATTTGGTCGAATTTAGGTCGCCCCTGTTCGRATCTTCGGATCTGATAATATGATCCGATTAGAAATCGGATCGGATTCGGATCACCCCTATCCGATCTGATGTATATTATATATTTAGAAATATATATATATATATATATATATATAAAACATATATTTGTTATTTATTTATTTATAAATATATTTTTATAAAATTGTTATAGTATTTATTTTTTTATAAAAAAACATGTATATATGATGAAAATAATTAAAAAATACTTGGTATTTTTTTGTTTTTACTTTATTTAAATTAGTATATTAGTATATTTTATTTAATTTTTTAATAATTTATTAATTTTTAAAGAAAGCAAGTTGGATCGGATCAGATCCGAAGATCCGACTTACCGATAGTATTTGATTCAAATAGTGTCCTATCAGATCTGATTGGATCCGAGATGAACAGTGTCAAATCGGATTCAAATATATCCTGATTCGAATCCGATCTGATCCGTTTGCATCCCTACTTAAAAGGCAATTAAAATTATAAAATCATTATTTTTTGTGAGAATTAAAAATTTAAGACCCTAATATGGACTTATTTGGGCTTGCCTCGAGGGGCTTAGTACAAAGGCGGCTCGTAGGGGTGCAAATGAAGTCTGATCCTATATTTTTTTTTGATAAATGAAGATAATTTATTAAATCAGAATATAAGGCAATACAGGAAACCCATGAAGAGGCACGAGCTGTTACCTCTTCTAACAAAGTATTACATCAATTAAGAACCGGATAAGCAGAAATAAAATTACATAGCAGCCCAAAACAAATGATCCCTTGAAATCCCTTGCTTAGCTAGTCCATCCGCCAAGGAATTTGCTGATCTTTCTACCCAAAGAGAGGTANAAGGAATTTGCTGATCTTTCTACCCAAAGAGAGGTAACTGTCATATTTCTTGTGAGCCAATTGACTTTCCTCAATAAATCTCTATATCACCACATAGCTGAAGCTGGCTTTGTCAGCCATCCCACAACAATTTTAGARTCTCCTTCAACTATCAAGTGTTGAACTCCTAACTGTTCAGCAATCTGGATGCCTTGTACAGCCGCTAAGATCTCTGCTCTATTTGAGTCTCTTATTCCCACAGGGCCTGAAAACAAAGCTAGGGTGTTGCTCTCTCTATCTCTCAGCACCCCTCCTATCCCTAAAGGGCCTGGGTTTCCTTGGCTACTACCATCAAAATTCAGCTTTGCCCAACCTTCAGGCGGAGGCTTCCACACTGCAGCTGCCTTGTCCCTCGTATGACTAGTGGCTACTGCTTTCCAGTTACTCCAAATGTCATCAAAGGAAAACGTATGAAAGAAGTCCAAAGTTCTTGGCCAATGAATGGCTGTAGTCAGTATACAATCCTCAACAGTTTGTAAGCTTCTTTCCTTTTCTTTGAACACCCTAGCATTCCTTTCTTCCCAAATTGTCCACAAGGCTGCTGCTCTAATACATCTCCACATTGTTTTTCTTTTTTTTGTAGGCCACACAAAAGAAGAAGGATCGAACAGCTGACTTAATTCTGAGGACAGATTCCACCTGCATCTAAACTCCAAATAGCACTAGAAAAGGAACAAGATACAAATAAGTGGGAGCTATCCTTACCACTAGCCTTGCAAAGTACACACCAGTTAGGGGACACGCACATGAAAGGCCTTTTCTTCTGCAAGCAATCCAGAGTATTGATCTTTCTATAAAACACCTCCCAACAGAATATTATAATTTTAGGAGGAACAGGTCTGAACCAAATCTCCTTAGCAGGGAAACACAACTGTCCTATGGAGGGGCAAAGGGACTTAAAAAAGGAAGCACAAGTGAAAAAACCTTTTGGATGAGGGGACCATAGTCTCACATCCGAGCGAAGAGGGTCCAGAAAGACACCGCCAAGAAGAGACAACAATTCTGAAGAACTACTAAGTTCAACATCCCTCAAACCTCTCCTAAAACCAAAGTCCCAGCTTAAGGAAGAGGGTGAAGTAATAGAAGGAAGAAAATGAGAAACAGTTTTTTCCTTGTAAAGGGAAAGAGAATAGAGATCCGGGGAATTTGTCTTTAAGGGCAACGGTACCCACCCAAGTATCTTCCCAAAATAAAATAGAGTCGCCAGAGTTAACATCATACCTGACCATGTTGAGAAACTAAGGGAGGACACTCTGAATTGCTTTCCAAGGAGATGCCAACGTAGCTTGACATGATACACCCGTATCCCAACCATTTTCCTGTCTGTCATGTATACTAGCTATCACTTCATGCCACAATCTCTCCCTTTCTCTAGGCCACCTCCACAACCACTTCCCTAAGAGAGCTTTATTCTTTAGAGCTAACCTTCCTACTCCCGGGCCACCCTCTTCTTTTCTCCTACAAACTATTTCCCAATTGATTAGATGATCTTTCTTTCCCTCCTAGGCTCCCACAGAAAAGATCTCATTATCCTCTCCAACTTCTTAGCTTCCCTAATAAAAATCCTAAAGATAGAGAGAAAATAAACCGGTAAATTTGCTAGGGTAGCTCTCAATAAAGTCACTCGATCCCCTATGAAAATGTAGTTCTTTTTCCAAGAAGCTAATCTTTTCTCAAACTTTTCCAGAATTGGGGTCCAAAATCTACTCTCCTTTGGGTTAGCCCCTAGAGGGAGACTGCAAAGTTTCCAAGGGCCAAGAAGAAATGGGACAACCTAAACAATCCACCACAGACTACAAAGTCCTCTAATTCAAATTAACCCCTACCACATAACTCTTATCCAGGTTTATCTTCAAATCGGAGACATTCTCAAAGTTTTATAACAATGCTTTGAGATTCCTCACTTCCCGCCTGTCACCCCCTTCACAAAAAATTATGATATCATCAGCAAACTGCAGGTGGGTTACCCAGACATTTTTCCTTCCAATCCTCCAGCCTCTAACTTCCTCTTCCCTATCTGCTTTAGAGATTAATCTACTGTAGACATTTGCAACTAGGGTGAAAAGAAAAGGGGAGAGAGGGTCACCTTGTCTAAGGCCTCTACAAGCTGGGAAAAAGTCTTTCACCACCCCATTAACCAAAATGGAGTAATGTCAGGAACTAATACAACCCTTTACCCAATTGCACCATCTAGCTCCAAGCCCATAGCACCCTAGGACTTCTAGTAAAAAACTCCAATCCACAAGATCATAAGCCTTCTCCAAATCTAGTTTATAAACAAAACCTTGGGTTCCTGACTTTCTCATGTCCTCCATGCACTCATTTGCTATTAGGATCTGATCCATTATTTGCCTTCCTCGCACGAAAGCACCTTGTTCTTGACTGATGATGGAGGGTAGTACTACTTGGATTCTCAATGACAACAC